TTTGTGGCTTCCAACTAGCTGCATCTTCTCAGTGCGTTCACCTTGATGACACTATGTCCCCACCCCAACCCTACCCATTTGGAGAGAAGAAGCTATAGTCTGGATAAGACTTTCTCCCAAGGCTTGTGTGCTGGAGGCTGGTCTGCAGGATGGTACTGAATGAGGTACTAGAACCTTTAAGGGGTAGAGTCTGGTGGGAAGAAATTAGGTTACAGAGTCCCACCTTCACCTGGTTAACTTCGTTGGGACTGAATCACTTCTATGTCTTTAAAACTAAAGCAAGAACACCCCATAACCATGGCCTTTTCTGCATGCAACCACTTCCAGTTCTCGTTTTCCAATGTATTACCTGTCTCAGAAGCCATGCAAATACAGGCACCCCGTATTGGACTTTCAGTGTTTAAAACTTCGTGATAAATAAACCTGTTTTCTTTGTAAAGTGCCCTGGGTCTGCAACATGAAATAAGCTAAGCCACAGATGCTCAGCCATGTTCCAGAAGATGTTTAGACCTTTTCTCCTCCATGACACCTAAGCTCTGCCCTGTACATATTATTATCTCACACACACACACACACACACACACACACACACACACACACACACACACACACACACACACACACACAAGAACACCTGAGGCTCAAGGGCACAGTGTACCAGAACAGGAGCACATACATGAAATGGACAACTTCAGCTGGAGCCTGAGTTGTGCTACTAAATGATTCACCGAGATTTAAAGGCTTTCTACCACATGAAAAGAACTACAATGCCTCTTCTCCCATGGCTGTTAGTGGGTTGCTCTCAAATAAAGAAGAGGAAGTCATTAAGTCTCAGGAGGAAGTCAGAGAGATTTTTCTTTTATGAATGGTGAGTGCCTGCATAAATTATGTGTGGCACATGAGATACCCATGGTGTACCACAGACCAGAAGAGGATCCTCTAGAACTGGAGTTACAAGTGGTTATGAACCTCCGCCATGTGGGGGCTGGGGCCAACCTGGTCCTCTGAATGAGCAGGAAGTGTTCTTAACTGCTGAGCCACACTCTCAGCCCCATTTGTTTATATCTACAAATACCAAACGGAAGGGCACATAATAAGGCTCCAGAGAAGGCAAATAAGCTCCAAGGTTTACATAGAGGAAAAACATTCAGAGAGCTAAGGACCTTCATGAGCCACAAGCTGGTCTGTGGAGATGCTCTAGAGGGACATTCAGAAGTTTAAACAGAATGAGACATATCACTGTGGGGAGGGCCCAGTGGAATGGCACAGACACAGGTTGGCACCATGAGGACCAGTCTCTGATGGCATGAGCTGAAAAAGTGAAGATAGGGGTATAAGGAAGGGCCCTGGAGGCAGCAGCACACCTCTTCCACCCTTGTACTTGAAAGCAGATGGGCATCCCATACCTGTCTTACAGGAAGTCTCTCACGTCTGCAGAGCAAGTTGCTGGAGAGTCTTTAGGACCAGCAGAGCCAAGACAGCTGCAGGTGGCTAGTCTGGGCAGGACACCCAAGTCCTGCTGTGAACATGCCTCCTGCTCCACAGTAGAAGGGCACAATGATGGGACTGCCTGCCAGTCAAGTCAGCAGGGCTTTATAGTCTTTCGTGATAGCTACAGCCAAAGCTTTCCAGGAAGCAAAATGGCTATAGAGGGGTCACCTAGGGATGAGGGCATGATGGAAACCCACAGGCCCTTGGTCATAAAGATAAAATTGATGGCTTCCTAGCTGAAGGAGACCCTGGGGCAGGCAGATGCATCAGCAGACTAGTCACTGGCCATAAAGACTGAGAGCGCTTAGGTTTGGAGAAACAAATTTCAATTTACAGGTGAGAAAACTGAAGCCAAGAGAGAAAAGACAGCCTATCTGAAGACCACCAGATGGGTCAGAACCAGGAACAGGGTCCAGAACTGATTCCAGCTCCAGGGCTGTAGATCGCCTAATGAAAGGCACCATCTACCTAAGGCAGGATGCAGAGGAGTTTGGGTGACAGAATGAGCTCCAGGGTGTCAGAGGTTAGAGTGGTCAGAGGGTGCTATGGCCATCCCTAGGCTAGTGGTTCTGGGTTCTATAAAAAAAAAAAAAAAAAAAAAAAAAAAAAGCAGGCTGAATCTGTCTGTGGTGGCCCATGCCTTTAATCCCAGCACTCGGGAGGCAGAAGCCAGTCTGGTCTACAAAACTACACAGAGAAACCTTTATAAAATAAAGACAAACAGAAAGAAAGCAGACTGAGCAAGCCAATAACAAGCACCCCTTCATGGCCTCTGTATCACTTCCTGCCTCCAGGTCCCTGCCCTGCTTGAGTTCCTGTCCTCACTGCTTTAGATGATGAACTGTTATATGGAAGAATAAGCAAAATAAAACCTTTCCTTCCAAAGTTGCTTTTGGTCATGGTGTTTCATCACAGCAATAGTAACCCTAACCTAAGACAATGGTTCTCAGGAAGCAAGGGAGATGAACTGTGTGTGTGCCACTGCAGAAGGAAGACACAGAGGCAGGTCAACTTCTTAACCAAAGATGGAACAAGGATAGATAGGAAGAGAGGCTTGGAGGTGCCGGGCAAAAAGCATGGGAGAGTTTTGGGCAGATGGCCTCCATCTTCTCTGCAGGTGAACAGCTGCTAGACATAATTGGTGAGGATATGACTAGAGTTCTGTGGTAGGAACCAGAAAAGGAACCAAGGGGCACCCAGGCATCTGTGAGAAGCTCACACTCCTGGGGCACATTTTGGAGGCTTGGACTTGGCTGAACCTGTGATCTCTGCTGCAGACAAAAGACACAGGCACTCATCTCCAGCAGTGCTTGGCAGCCTGGGAAAAGCCACAGAGAAAACAGATGATCCTGGTTGCCAAGGGGAGGCCAGAGAACAGCCATGGGGCAGGAGAACAAAAACTGAGTGGGGCCCAAAGCCTGGTTGCTCTAGGGTAGGAAGAAGGCAAGAAAAAGAGACTAAGGGGTGGGAGATGGACTAGGATAGGAACAAGGGATCTGTGAGGTTTGCTAAAATGAGGTTTAAGTGAAAGGAAACAGAGGTCTCTAGAATATAGTCACAGCCAGCAATATGAGTCCTGAGTTCATCCAGGTAAAGGAAAAACCCAGAGGCCTCGATGCATGTGAAGGCCAGCCATGAGGGCAGAGGGCAGACCATTTTAAGGAAGCAGACTAGGCTAGGGAGGCAGAAAGGGAGAAGGTGGGATGTCTCCCTGGAATTTGGGGTAAAGGGAGTCTCTAGCTGAGAAACAAAGTAGGAATCAGACAGTTAAAGAGGCAACAGTGACCTCCTGAGGAAAGGGTGTTGCAAGGTAAGGACTCTAGCTGAGAGCAGAAAGAAGTCCTAAGGTACAAAGGGAAGTGGTGGTGTCCGTGTGCACAGACACCCAAGGGAGGATGTAGCCAGGAACACCAATAGCCAGCACCTCAGGGCTCAGCATCTCTCTGAGAGTCTCCAGCACCAGGCACCTGTTTTGAGCAGCTACATCTTACAGCTATCCCCAGGAAACATCTGCTAAGTGTCTTCCATGTATGAAGAGCTTCAGATCTCCAGCTCAAACATATTCCCAGAAAACTCCAGCTTCCAAGACACTGTCTCAACCAGCAGCCTATTCCTCCTGTCCCATACTTCTACTTTTAGTCTATGAGTAGTAGGTATGTGTCCGTGCACATGTACACACGTGCATGCAAATGTACACGCGGTGGGTAGAGGCTGATGGGTTTATTCCTCAGTCATTCTTCACCTGATTTTTAGAGACAGATTTTTATCACTGGGCCTGGAGCTCACAGATTAACTAGGCTAGATGACTAGCAAGTTCCAGGATGCAACTCTCTCCACTCCCCGCAGGGATGCAGTACTGCTGGGTTACGGACATGCGCTGTCACACTGCTTAACATGTGTGAGGAGACCCGAACTCGGAAGCTCAGGTCCTTGCATTTCCACTGCTGATCCATCTCCCTGGGATCCCTAATTAATCTTAACTCTCCACCACTTGCCATGTTAGTTACATCTACTGTATTCACCACCTTCTCTTCAATGCTTAGAACAGACCCAGGTATGTAATAGTCCCTTAGCAGACAGTTTTAGAATGCTGAATACATTATCTTTGGAACCCAAAGGTATTTCTTGTTGGGGGGGGAGGGGAGGGAGAGGGAGAAGGGATTGACATCTGAAGCAAGCTTGTTCCTAATTTTTATTATTTAATAAAATAAAATAAAAAGTCATTCACGCTCTTAGAAAGAGAAGTACTAGGACTGGACAGATAGCTCAGTGGTCAGTAGCACTGGCTGCTCTTTCAGAGGACCTGCGTTCCATTCCCAACACCTACATGGTTGCTCATGACTGTCTGTAACTCCAGCCCCAGGGGATCCAACACTCTCTCTGGCCTTGGGCACTGTGTGCACATTCTACATAGACATACACATAAGGCAACAAAAAAATACAACATAAAATAAATAGCTTTTAAATAAATAATTAATTTAAAAAGAAAGAACTGCACTGAACTTTGTGGAGGTTACTCACTCTAGCGCGTGTCCTCAGAGGGTGAGTGAGGTGAGTCTGTTCTGACTTCCCATCACTTCCCAGAGCGAAGGCCTGCTTTGACTATCCCCTGCAGCCCCATGCCTGTTCAGCTGTGTTCACAACACCTGCCATCTTCCCACCTAGGTTCTGCAAGGTGATGGATCCTCTAGACCCACCATTGAAAAGATGTCAAAGTGATTTCTTCTTCCACCCTACATCAGCAATGTGTTTATCATGTGCCCATGTTCAGCCATGTTTCCAGAAGGCATTCTGTGTACAGAGCCTCCTGGTCAGTGGCTACCTCAAGGGTGGGAGGAGCTGACAAGCATTCTGCACGCATTTCATTCAGGCACCAGCACCACCTGCCAAGCTCATTACTGGCACAATATCTCAATTTTACTCTTTTCTCTATCAGTGTGTAGCGGCTGTGGCACTGCAATTAGCTTGAAGAGCCAATCGTTCTTGAAATGAATCACAGCAAGACATACCGTGACCTGGGCGGAGTCGAGGAACTGCAGACCAAAATAATCTGTTTCCACCAGGTCCAAGTGGTACACAATCTGGTCGAACAAATCCTGGCCCTTGGCATGTTTCTGGAAGATAAACAGGGACATGAAAATTAAGGGTATGATAGATAAAGAACAAATATTTTTAAAAATCCTTTTCTCTTCATAAATTGCATACAAATTTGTAAATCTTGAATTAGTCTTATTTAGGTGAAGTAAGGATTTGTAATTGCAGATACTCAAATACCATGCACTCCTACGAGGTCCCAGCTGAACACTGTCCACTCTCTCCCTTCTCTTCTTACAAGGAGGCAGCTTTCTGGATGAACGACTTTACGTGATCACAAGCTTTTCCCAGACCAGGCACTCTGCAAGGAGGTGTGATGGGCTCTGCTCCAGCACAGCCACACCTGAGGCTGGCTGTCAAGTCAGGGCACCTTAGCAACTCTGCTAGTTCTTTTCAAATGGCCTGGCCAGCCTTGTCATTTGACAGGGCAATCAACCAAAGCCTAGGGAAAACAGAAGCTCTGTCACAGTGCCATCCAGCTAGGACTCAAACCCAAAACCCAGGTCCACTCCAGGGTCTGTGTGGTTCACAGACAGAACCCGAACACAGAAAGAGAGCCAGATGCAGCAGCCTCACCTGCTATTTAGAAACAGGCACGAGGAAAGCCACATCTCCTGCTTCTCCTTCTGCCTTGCAAAACAGGCTGAGGGCTGATGCCACACCACCCCCACCCCCGCCGCCTCTTTTTAGGAAGACAGAGGAGATCTCAAACAGAAAGCTACTGCAAGAAGACTCAGACCTTTGACTAACGAGGAGGCTTATTAGTACTCATCGAAGCAGAATGCAGGCATGTGTCTCTGATAAAATCTACATCACAGCAAATACATTTAAACGAGGTGTCAAAGAAAACACTGACAGAGAAAACAAACAGCAACTTCATACAACGACTGGGGAACCCAATCCTTATTACAAACACTGGCAATCGATGGGAAAGCAGCCGTCATCGCCTGCCCTTCCCTGGAGCGAAGAGCAGGTAGTATCGAACACACACATTAGCTCACGATGGACCAGGCCTCAGTGGAAGAGAGAGAACTGTGAAACTGCCAATGGCAAGTAGGCCCTTCATGAGCGTGGGTTAGGTGGTGGTTGATGAGAGATGGCATCAACAGTATGAGCCAAGTAACCAGAGGACAACAAACTGTATATTCACGAGTGAAGCTTTGGATGCTTCAAACCCACTGAGATGTCCAAAGCAATGCAAAGGCAATCCAGAGCATGGGGAAGTTTGTAAATCATATATAGTCATCACTCCAGCACCACTGTGGGGAAATGTTCCAGCACCACTTGAGAAGGACCAAAACGCACAGATGCTCAAATCCCTCATACACATGGCAAATAAGTTATGCACATCCTCTCACATGACTTAAATCCTCTAGAGGACTCATGACACCTGAGACACTGCAGATGTTATGTGAAGAGCTGTTCTTGCTTCACTGTGCTGTCTAGGGAATGACCTAATGTATAGAATGTATAGAAGTGTCTACACATGTTCAGTACGGATGCAATTGTTTTTCAGTAGTTTCATTCCAATCAGGGTTCTAAAGGTCTAACGGTGTTCTGATAGAGACTTTTATCCAGAATAAATACAAGAACTATTAGATCTATTAGAATTCAATAATGAAAAGACAAGTATCCAATTAAGAGCCAGCAGAGGGGTGCATACAGTTCTCTGAAGACATGCAAGAGGGTTTGATAAACACCTGGGAAGGTGAGCAGCATCAACAGCCGCAAGGACAGGCAAACCACAACAACAACCAGACCCCACTCCATGCCCACTCAGATGGCTGGGAGAGAAAAGACCTAACAACAAGTGCTGGACACAGTGGAATCCTCACATACTGCTGGCGGAGTAACCGACCACAACCACACTGGAAAACACTCTACCAGCTCCTGAAACGATGCAGTTCAGATTAGCACATGGCCTGCCATTCCATCTCAATGTATATATCCAAGAAAAATAAAAATGCACGCTCATGAAAATGTTGTACATGGATGTTCCCAGCTTTATTCATTACACCGAAAAGGCAGGAACAACTGAAATGGACATCAATCAATGATCAAAACACAGAATATTCATTTGGTGGATGATTACTTCACCACGAAAATGACTGGAATACTGATGTATGCTACCATAAAGATGGACTCAGAAAACCCTCTGCTTCAGTCAAAGCAATGGTCACAAAGCACCAAACTTGTATGACCCTCTCATAAGAAAGGTCAAAGCAGGCAAACCCTAGAGACAGAAATTATGTTAGTGGTAGCTTAGGACTGAGGGAGCTGAGGGTTGATGCCAGGCTGGTGTTTTACCAATGACATGTCCTACAACTGACTGCATTGACAGATGCAGAATTCTGCATCTACTAAAGGCCTCTGGACTGGATACTCGGAAGGTGACGCACAGCATGTGGATCCCAGTAATGCCATTACACACACTAATGCATCTTTTCTTGATTGAAGAATCCCAACATGCCAAATAATCAGGAGCGAGAAAGTTGCAACATCAACATTTGACAGGCTGAAATGACAGCAGAATGGCAACTCCCATCCCATCCAGTAACCAGCCACAGTGTCCCTGTGACAGAACATCCTACCTCCAGGATGGGATGTTCACAGTCTCTCCACAAGATCCAGCCTAGAAAAACCTCTAGAAACCCCATAATGCAAACTACCCCATTCCTAGTATAAGAAGAAGAGATGGGTTGTGGAGAGGCAACCTGAGGTTCAAAGATCTAAAAGACTGTCTTCAAAAAAGGCAAGGTCAAACCACAATGCCTAGGAGAGACACCCAGACACACACTGTCTAGGATACACATTTGGGTGAGGAAACTTTAAATGAATAAGGAAGTGACCACAATAAAGTCAGAGTAGCTGCTGCTCATGAGAGGAAGGGCATACAAGAGGTGGGGAGAGGGGCACATGCCTGACCACATACAGGGTTCTATCTCAGGAGACAGGGTGTTTGCATTCTAATAACTCATCAAGCTACACCCCAGTTTTATCTGCACATCTCTATCTACAGGGCATATACAAAGGAAAAACTCAAGAGTGGCGATGAAGCTTCATGGTAGAAGGCAAGAACGATATCACAAGGTCTGGGTTCTATTCCTCAGCATCTACCACAAGATGGACTGCACACTCTCCTTTCTGGACCAACTCCTCTGAAAACAACAACAACAGAAGCAGAAGGCTAAATGTAAAATAAGGCCTCTACAGTGTATCCCACTGGAAAAAGCCAGTCAGCTAATGTCCCAAGCACAAGGACAGAGAACAATGGCACGCCAACACTGCAGATACTGCCCTACCAGTGGAGAGGATAATTACAAAGAGGGAGATTCATGTAAAGAGTAAAGGAGCTTTGATTCCGAATACATGCACTATAGGACTGGCAAGATGGCTCAGTGGACCAAGTCACTTGCCACACAAGTCTGATGGCCTGTGTTAGACCTCTGGAACCCAAGTAGATGGAAGGAGAGAATCATCTCCACAGAATTGCCCTCTCGCTTCCACACATGCACCACGGCACATACACACCCTGCCCCTGCCACATGCACCAGGCACATACAATAATAAATAAAATGCTAAAACATATGCATTGTATATTATGAACAGCTCTATAAAACAGGGTATCTGCTGAAGCAAAAATAGACATATTCAAACGGAAAACTATTGGACTTCTCTTTAAAACTGGCCTTTGGACAGCTGTCAGACAGCAAACATGATTGCGGGGAGGAGAGGCGAAGCCCGAACCCTGGCACTCTGCCTTCTTACCCGTAACAACCAATCCTCAGGATGTGTTCCCTGTTGCTCTCCAGTACAACCAGCCCCAAGCAACACCTGCGATTGTGGAGCCAATGCTTCATTAAGTAGTTTCCTAGTGGGACAGAACTAGTTAAGAAAGGCTTTAGCAGCAGGACATGGCAGAAGACCTAGGTTGGGAGGAAGCAAGAGACTGTGCTCAGGGCCCAGATGGACTACCCACTGCGACACAAAGCAGTTCATAATTCCCCCAAGCCCCTATCCCCAACCCAAGCTTGTCCTGTAGGCGTTTGCATGATACCCTGAATATACGGAGCCATAAAACTCAAGCAGCCCCAAATCCAATCTTCACCCCACCTATGTCTCTCTATGTGGATTCAAGACATACCCTCCAACACATGATTTCAACAGTCACAGGTTATTAGCTGATAATGCACAGTGAAAAGGGTCATTGCACACCGCCACTCTGCTTCATTCCAAACACTATTCCTCCTCTATCCTTTGGGCAGAGGCGGGTGATCTTGCCAGACCCCTCCTTTGGTGGACTCATGCCTGCCTCCTGTGTATCTGCAAATACTAATCAACTGTGTCCCTTACTAGATCTTCTGCTAGAATAATGAATTCCTAGCCAGTTTCACAGACAGAGATTCAACAAAGGCCAGGTTGGAGGGATCCTCAAAGCAGATGCTCAGAAGGATGAGGACAGTAGGGTTGAGGCCACTGTACTAGAGCCCACTCACTACCTCTCAGCCCTCCTAGCCTGAAAAGTCAGCTGTCAAACCCCAATAGGCTCTAGATAACTCCATTTACCTGTACTGTCAATCATCTCATCACATGGAGCAGGGTTTATGCTCCTTCCTCTCAATCCCACAGGTAAGGGCATGCCTGTAACTTTACACAGGATCACCTCAGGGTGCAGCTGTCTATGACCCCCATCTCACTCCTCCTTCCAAGTGAGAACTCCCTGAGGAGAGAGCCTAGTCATGCCCACCCAAGTAATCACACCCCTGTCCCTCCAAAGTACAAAGCCCAGCTATCACACATCAGAACCTACATAAGTAATGCATAGGTAGATAACCAGGGAGCTGTATGGTGGGGTCTGGGGTCAAGAAGGAAATGCAGTGGATGGGCTGTGCTACGGCACCAATCATAGCCTAACGGTGTATCAAAAGCGGCACATCTAAATATGCTCATTGCAACATTTTCAAATTCTGTATTCCGAGAACCAGCACCTAGGGAACCAACTGCACTTCCAAGGCCATTTACCTAAACACAATTTTGTCGC